TACCCTACTCCAACCCCCCCCGTTCCTCCTGTCCCCCTCGACGCCCCCCCCCCCCACGAACCCTCCTGCCCCCATCCAACCGCCCCCTGCTCCCTGTCCCCTGACTGTCCCCCGGGACCCTCTGCCCCTTATCCAACCCCCCAACCCCCATCCCCTTATCATGCTGCTCAGAGCAGCAGGAGCTTGCAGCCCCACCACCTGGAGCCAGCCACGCTGCCTGTGCTGCCCGACAGGAGTGGCTGGCCAGAGCGCTGGTGGTGCGCTGTGCTGCGGCTGCAGGGGGACACCAGGGGAGGGGCCAGAGGCTAGACTCCCCGGCCGGGAGCTCAGGGGCCAGGCAGGACAGTCTCGTGGGCCGGATATGGCCCATGGGCCGTAGTTTGCCCACCTCTGCTCTATACTGTAATCATTTCATTTCAACATTGTCAGACTGAATGGTTCCTTTTGAGGTGGCCATCCTGTCTTTTAGTTCCTTGGCCTATTTGATAGGTTTCTTGTCCCTTGCTGAATTTTACACATGCATCCTCTCACTTTTTATGGCTTAGTAATTTGGACAGGATGATCCAAGCAACCACTCCAGCAATGCAGTTGTCTGCATCTGCTTGTGACCCAGCCCTCCACACAGCTCACGTATACTTCCCTCCTTTTGGAGTAACAAAATCCTACCAACAAATAGTTCAATAATCTTGAACCCCTGACTTTGGACCCAGTGGTCCTCATATTCCTTGTTTCAGGGCTTCCACTAGTCTGCACCCCTTGTATCAGGGAGTTTCCCACCTCCTTTGTGGTTGGTAGGGGAACTCAGACCCTCCTTCTTCTCTAGGTTCCAGTCCAGGGAACCGGTTGTGAGCAGCCAAGGTATGCTTCCTCCAACCACTTGCTGCTTTCCTGGACTTCTTCCTATCTTAGCCTGCACCTCTGCCCTTTTCTTCAGCCCATTTCTGGCTCTACAAAGTCCTTTTCAGCTCTGGTCATGAGCAATATTTCACAGGGTTTCCCCCTGGAGATCCAATTCCTGCCTTTTTATCAAGGCTTCCAGTAGTGGTTGCTTCCAGCCATGTGGTTTCTCAGTGTCTCTCCTGGCCTACTGTCAAAATTCCCATCTCAGAAGGAGCTCCCGAAGTCTAGCCATCCTCTTTCTTTCTCCCAACCCTCTCTTATTGCTTTGAGCTTCTCCCTTCCTGAAGACCCAAACCTGGTGGTTCTGATAATGAATTGGTTCTCCACATTCCAGTTCAGGTGCAACTTCAATATTGTTGGGGGAAATAAATAGGAGGTGCCTGATTTCCTGTTATCATCCCTGAAAGAGATGAGCTTCAGAGGGTGTTACTCATTTCTTTTAGGGAAAGGATTGGGATCACTTTAATTGAATAACCAATAGACTTTATATTAAAACTAGTAATTGAAAGCCTGTGCTGTCATATGGATACAGCAGATTAGCCAAGTAATCCACTCTCCGTGCAATCTCCCTCAAACAACCAATGAAATTGTTGCATGCAAATTAGCTGTAGAGTAAGAATGGTGACTGGTTGCGTTAACTCTGACATTACAATGGTCTAGGAACTCTTGTCATAGCATAGATACATGCCTTAGTCTCACTGTGAACAGCACAGATGTAATTCATAAAGTCAAAATGGCTGAGAAACTAAAAACTGGACAGTAACAGACCATGAATCCCAGTGATAATTGAACCTGGTGATATTATGAACAAAAAGAGGCCTCAACCATGCTTGTAGCTACTTCTATTACTTCACCATGACTCAATAGACATCCTAGGCTTCAGAGTGTGACACACAGTGAGTGGTAATCCTGGAATTGTATTAGAAAGAGCTTGACTGCAATCATGCATGTGCTTAGCTTCACTCCCATGCATCGTCCCAGTGAAGTCAATAGGACTGCTCATATGAGTGAAGCTAAGCAAGTGTATAAGTGTAGGCAGGAGCAGGGCATTAGTTCAGCTCTCAAGCATTTTGACAGAATGTAGTTAAGGGCTTATTCTCAAGTTTTCACTGTAAATACCAACTATTTGTCCAAATTCCTTGTATCTCTTCATACGTTTAGAACGATCAGTGACATCACATGTCATGAGAAGAAACCTTCCTTTGAACCATCAGTAGCTCCTTTGCTGTGTAGCAGACCTTGTGAAATAATGAAGATGACTGGGGCAAGTGGCCTGTTTTCCTTTCTTTTTAATGAACAGTGGAAGCTCCCTTCCCCCACCCCAATCACACTTTGGTAGGCAGAAAAAACATTGAAGGACAGACAAGAGGAGGATGTTTTTGAACTTTTTCTCTTGTGCTATGTTATGATCCTCCCCAGGAATTTTGTTCCTCTCCAACATTTTACCCGTTTTTTTAGTGTAGGCATTGTAATGCTCTCTTGCATTTTCTTCCTCTCCCTGGCATTTCCAACATCTCACTAGATGCCACCTTGAGAGATCTCTCTCCTGTATTTCCTTAGAAGAAAAGGAAAAGGAAGAGGCTTTTGTTCTTTGTACCTCAACGATGACAAGTGTGGAACATTATCAGATTGGAGCTTTAGTCAGAAAAATATTTGTATCTGCAGTGCAACTGTAATCACTACCTGTTTGAGATTTAGGAGAGTGAGAGAAGGGAGAATGAATATGAATTTAAAAAACCCACAGAGCACGATAGGAATCATTCATAGTATCATCCATACAGATTGTAGTTAGACACACCCATACTAAATTTTCACTACTTACAATGCTCATTTCTCTCTCCACGCATCCCCCTGGATATCACCATTGCATATTGTATCTTCATGTAGAACATCCAGTCTGCTGACACACATCATTGACTAGTGACACTCTCATACGACTGCCCTGGAGCTAGAAAACCAAGGAGTGCAATCTTTGCTTAGTATGATCAAAGAACGTCCCTTATCTCATCCTGAGAAAATGCAGGAAAAAAAATACTGATAGGTCATTTTCCCATGGGGCTACATTAAAGATATCTGGCAAGCTTACAAGAAACTAGAGACTTATAAAGACAAACATGTTGAACAGGTGCCATAAAGTACTGCAATATTAATGGTGTCTTCTGTAGCTGATGAGAGCTAAATGATCTTTGAGTTTCCCCTTAGTGATTGGTCTGACATATCTTTGCTTAATTACAACATTTTTTTTTTAAAGCAGGAGTGACTTGGAATAACTGACCCAGATTCGCAGACGTCTTAAAACAAAACTGGTTCCTATTAGAAAACCAGTTGTTCATTTCCCTTGATTAGTAAAACCCTCATAAGTCTATCAAACTACAGTATGGTAACAATTTTAATCAAGGAGTTGAAATAAGATCAGTCGTCATCAGAGAGCATGTTTCATAATGCTTCCTGTAAAGGACATCTAAGTGAAGAGAAAAAGCAGAGTCCTTTCTTAAAATGTTATAGTAACTTCATTAACTCACTAATTTGAGAGGCATTTCTAATGGTGTAGCATTTTTTTCAACCCTCAGAATAATGAACTGTATGTACCAATTGACTCTTTAGAAAGGCTTCAGTTTCAAGAAGCAAAGTTTCTTTTGTAATGACTGTGTGTCTATAGCTGCTGGCTTCCCTAATGAGAGGGGAACCTTACAGGATGTAGTTCCTAAGCCAGCAAGACACATGAATAGTTCCCCTGCAGTCAATGAGACTACTCACATGCTTGAAGTTAGGCACATGTTTAAGTACCTTGCAGAATAGAGGGGCCAAGTTTGCAATGGTGGTAACAAACTCATTCAGAAGGGGCTGGCTGTGAACCAACTTCTTAATATTTGTTTGGAAGTTTGAATTTCTGAACTCAAAGCTCTCCGGCAGCATTCCAATGGAAGGGTCAATTTATTCACCCAACTGAACTTCACCAAGCCCTAGGAGATTAGGAGTGAACAAATAAAACATTATATAACTAGTCTTCCTTCTTGTTCAAGTAAGAGTAAGACTAAGTTAATGCTGGTGAAAGAAACCTCTTAGTGCTCAGTACAAAGCAAAGACATCCAGTTGCTGCTGGATGAAATCTACCCACTGGGCACCACTTCTGATCCTGAAACTATAGCATAGGAGTGCTGATTAATTTACCAAATTTAGTTCCTGTTCTTGAGATTTACATATGTGACCAAGCAAAATAACCCAAGAAGCATGTGGGGAAGTTTTTCATTGTCAATGACTGGCATTTCTTGAAATGAAAGATGAAAGGGGAGGTGCAACCTTTGTTATCCATGATATTTAAATAGAGCAATAGAGAATGGAGACGAAAGTCTGTATTTTACAGTTAAATACCAAAACAACATGATCCAACAAATGGATGATTCATTTTTCTAAAACCACTTTGCACAGCTGAAAAAAAGATAGTGAATAAGCCCTATTCATAGAATAAAAGCAATCTGGCTGTCCAAAAATGACACAGCTTTGGAAGCTAAATCTCCAAGAAATTACTTGGCTTAGTCATTAAAAAAATAAAACAAACAAAAAGACCCAACCAGACAAAAAATAAACAAACTTGTTAACATTGTTTTATAAACAGAAAGGATAGATTATTAAGAACAACTCAGATGAGTTCACTCAACATCTGGACTAGATTTTTCCTTGAGAGATGAAAACCATCAAGTCACATTCAAGCAGAGAGGCAGCAACTCATTGGGAGGAAAGATGGCCTTATGGTTAAAGGAACAGGAGTACTTGTGGCACCTTAGAGACTAACAAATTTATTTGAGCATAAGCTTTCATGGGCTACAGCCCACTTCTTCGGATGCATAGAATGGAACATATATTGAAGATATATATATATATACACACACATACAGAGAGCATGAACAGGTGGAAGTTGTCTTACCAACTCTGAGAGGCCAATTAAGTACAAGAAAAAAAACTTTTGAAGTGATAATCAAGATAGCCCAGTACAGACAGGTTGATAAGAAGTGTGAGAGTACTTGCATGGGGAGATAGATTCAATGTTTGTAATGGCTCAGCCATTCCCAGTCTTTATTCAAACCTAAATTGATTGTGTCTAATTTGCATATCAATTTGAGTTCAGCAGTTTCTCGTTGGAGTCTGTTTTTGAAGCTTTTCTGTTGTAAAATAGCCATCCACAGGTCTGTCATTGAATGACCAGGCAGGTTAAAGTGTTTTCCCACTGTTTTTTGAGTATTA